GATGCCGGGATGGATGCAGGGAGGGATGCTGGGATGGATGCAAGGAGAAGGAGGGGCTAGGACAAGTGGGGGAGCATAATAGGCGTTTCTCTCAGTTGATCTTTGTATCAAAACATCTTGTTCTATTATATATTTTAGGTATGTATGAGATTAAGGCATTAAGATTAAGTAATTAGTATTTTAGGTCATAAATTGTTTAATTATGGTATTAGACTGTGTTTTATATATATATGTTTCAATTTTAAAGCTTTTACTTATATGTTTTAATAGATATTAAAACATATGACTAATTAATTGGTAGAATTGTTTATATTAAATTATTTATAAAATTTATATAAAAAAGTTTGAAACAAAGAAAGCAAAAAAGAGAAAAGGTGACCAAATAGGAAATAGAATAACAATATATTTGATTTCATTAACTGATGTATATATATAAGGATGCTGCTGCTTCCTTAAACTCAATAGAACGAATTGGTGCTCACATGAATTCTAAAGAAGAGATGCAGCTTCTGGGATGATTATTTCAGTCATATCCACTGACCGAAATAATTCACTATTTCGGTCAAGCTTCATGACCGAAATACTCATTATTTCGATCATAGCCACTGACCAAAGTTAAGTAACTCATTTGTCACAGCCATAGCCCAGGCATCGCTCTGCGTGACTATGGTTGGCTTGATTCAGTCATAATTTTTGACCGAAATAAGGCAACCATGTGGATTAGTTCGGTCATAATCCTTGACCGAACTGTGCATGCAAGCGCAATTGGGCCCAACGAATTCAAAAGAAAAGTAAGCGCATTGGGGTTTAGAATTACGCATATTTCGGTCATAATTACTGACCGAAATAAGTACATAAAAATAGCCCCCCCGGAATGCATGGGTGGGGATATGCTATGCATATTAATTCGGTCAAACATATTGATCGAATAAATATGGCAGAATAATATCTCCTCGAACCGACATGGAGGATTGGATGGTGATAGTCTGAGATTTGTTCGGTAAAATAAATTGTCCGTAAAAATTGCTTTTTTTCCTGTTTTAGTCAAAAGTTCTGATTGGCATTGAAAATTTGGTTTTCGTGTGAAATTTGATTATTGATTGGAAGTAAGATTCTTTCATGTGCTATTTTTTTTTTTTTTTGTGTATCTTTAGTCAATATAAGTAGATGTTTGCTCTTTGCTCAAACATATTGATCGAATAAATATGGCAGAATAATATCTCCTCGAACCGACATGGAGGATTGGATGGTGATAGTCTGAGATTTGTTCGGTAAAA